GGTCTTGATGCCAGGTGCTGTCTTTGCCCACCAGCGCCTCATCTGGGCCATTATTGTTATTATTTTTACTCACTCCCTGTAAAGATGCAGCACCTTTGAGGCTGACACCATCAGGGCCTCTCCTCCCCTATCCCACGCAGACATCCGCGCACCTCCTGGTCCATTTTTGAGGAATCCCAGCCTTGTGTGATTATCATTCATGCTTCTCCTGGTTGCTCCCACTCTCTCCCACTGGATGTGGCCACAGGATTTGCTTTGGCCAGGAAATGTGAGTGAAAGAGATACTTGCTGTTTCCAGGCAGATGTGTTGAGTTGCCAGTGGGAGGGCCCAGTCACATCCTTCCTCTGCCTCTGAGGTCCTGGGAGCACAGGGAGGGGCCGTCTAGGTCTCTAAGTGACTGGGATGAGTAGAGCTCTCTGGCTTATCTACACTGAACACACAGTGAGGGAAGGAAATACACTTCCCCTGCGTTCAGTCACAGAGTGTCTGAGCTGCTTGTTTCTGCAGCATGCAGAACCCATCCTAACTGGCACATCTTGGCTCACATCCGGGACCTCCAGCTAACCCTGCAATCCTCAGAGCTGACCTACTCACCTGCTACACGGCCCACATCCCCAGTGGTGTTCTCCTTCACTGTACCTCAGCCGCCCACACCTGTGGCCAACCCCATCTTTATCCAATGAGTTAAGACAGCTCGTGACCTCGTTCTCTCTGCTTCCATCCATGTGGTCCTTGACCACTGGCCTTTCTCCATGTCAGCTACACCCGTCTGCCTCCTCCCAAGCCTGTGGGCTCAGTGGCCTCTGCCCTCATGCCTCCACTTGCGGGTCTTTCCACTTTCGGCACCCCACTGTCCTTCTGTCCATCTGGCAAAATCTCATCCTGGATGAGTGTTCCGGGCTGCCTCCCTTGCCCCAGGGTCGGCTGCTGAGGACTGCTGGAGCAACCAGACGGCTCAGCCAGCAGTAGGCAGCCGGCCCTCCATGCCACACCAACGCCTGCCTTGTTTCCCCGTGGGCTTGCCCACGCTCCCCTTCACTGACATTCCCACCGTCTCAGATGTCTTGGATCCTTTCCCCCCGCAACTTCCTCAGATGACCTCACTCTGTCTCACGGATCCACAGGCGTGCTCTCGACTTCCTGTCACCAAGCAGACATGCTGACTTCATCTGCCCTCCTCTTCCCTCCGTTACAGTGGGGTGGTGACTGCATCTCCTCCTTGCCACGTCGGGCCGGATTCTCATGGTCTCCTTCCCACCAGCCTGTCACACACTCGTCTTCCTTTCCCTGGACCCCATGCCCCCAGCTACTCCCCTGCCTCTACTCCAGGCCCCTAGAAGGTGTCTGTGTCTTCTGTCTCCTCTCCCCACCTTCTCCTCACTCACCGTCATCTACTGTCACTACTTATTAAACCCTCGGCAGTGAACCAGGAAGGGCCTACTATGCGCCAGGAACTGTACTAGACCAGCTTTCCCCAAAGTCAGCCATGATCCCCCTCTTGCTGGAATGAATCTCTCGGGTTCCTAGCACTAGACTTCGGGCAGTGTCTACCCCGAAGCCCCGTTTGACTGTCCACCACTCTCTCTGTCTGCTCCTTCTCAAGGCTTCCCGTTGCCACCCGGCCCTTGGGAATTTTCCGTAAAGGTTCTCCTGAGTGATGCAGATTCACTCTGGACTGGTGCTCTTGTTCTCTTCCACCACAGTCATTGCGGCCGCTGGGATGGAGTCATTAACGATGCCTGTCTTTCTTGCTCACTGTCGCATCTGATGATGCCCCCCGTGCTCAGCAAATTGTTGGATCCCAAAGGTGGGGACCCATGTCTTTCCCACCCTTGTAGCCCCAGCAGCCTGTGGAAGGCCTGCGCACCAACTATTTGTTGAAGGCTCGCTGACCACCCTGTATATACTATCTCACTTAATCCTCACAGCCACTCATACAGATGTAGGTCATTACTCTCCATGTTACAGATCAGGAAACACCGGTCCAGAGAGGTGAGGTGACTTGCCCAAGCTCACACAAACAATAAATGACTATAAGAAAGGCACCTGTTTCTTACTGCCAACACCCAAGGCCACATCCTGATCTCTAGAATCCGTGAATGTGACCTTGTTTGAAAAAAGGGTCTCTACATATGTCATTAAGGATCTCGACATGAGGTCATCCTAGATTAGGGTAGGCCCTAAATCCAATGACAAGTATCCTTCAAAGAGGAGAGAAGAAGAGAGGAGAGAAACACACAGAGGAGGCGGTGACATGAAGATAGGGACAGAGATTGGACTGATGAGTCTATGAACCAAGGAAGGCCACGGACCGCCTGCCACCACCAGCAGCTAGGAGAGAGGTGTGGCATCGACTCTCCTTCAGAGCCTCCAGAAGGAACCAGCTTTTCCAACACCTGAATTTCAGAGTTCAGGCTTCCAGAACCGTAAGAGAATCAATTTCTGTTGTTTAAAGCCCCCTGGTTTGTGGCAGTTTGGTACAGCTGACCTAGGAAACCAACGTAACCCCCAAACCATACGGTGGTGTGTGTTAGAGGGGGTGGCAAGAGTCCTGGGCTGTGTGACTGTGGCCTAGTCACTTCCTTCTCTGGTCCTGATGGCTCTGTAGGAAAACGAGCTTGGGAAGCCAAGTGTCCTTCCAACTCTGGCATTGAGCAACCCTTTTGAAAAACCAGGAGCCAGGCAAGCAGGGCTATGTTGGGATTTTCAAATTTATTCCAACGTGCTATTTTTTTTTAAAAAATATCCTCAGGCTGAACACTCAGCCGGAGCTGTAATAAAGGCAATTATTATACTTGTAAAAACTTCTCATTCACAGTACAGGTGTAATTTACAACAAAGGTCACACACATCAATACTGAGCATTTTTTTTCCTTTTGTATGTCAGACTCTGTGCTTTAGACCTGCATGGATTTTTTTGTTTTGTTTTTTTTTCTTTTGCACTGATATATACCATACCAACATTGCAAGATGCAAGTGTGGAAACTGGAGTTTAAATAAGATTACAGGCAAAACTACCCCACCCCAGTGCGTTTGCTGTACATATCTACAGTACAATTTTTGGAATGTATTGCCATTTAAGAACATAGAAACTTTCTACAGACAAAGTCACGTACAGAATACATACACCTGTTAGAAAAAAAAGGCCAGTATTTATCTTACAGAGAGCATGTATCTTACATTTGCCTGCCCGTTTCTTTTCTTTCCTTTTAACACTAGATTTAGTAAAGTGATCATAAGTGCCAAAGCGGTTTTCTAATGGAAAGCAGACTGGATTCACAACACAGAAGCAGAATTTGTGGAGTAGCCCTTTGAGAACTTTCCTCCCCCAGTCTACTCGGCAGCTAGGTCCCCAAGGGTGGTGGCTCAGCCAGGACTTTAAGAAGGATTTTTCTGGAGAAAGGACTAGAGAGAAATTCAGCTTAGATATATTGCTTTTTCCTCTTCATAAGGACCCCGTGGGAATGGGGCAGAGGAGAAGCTAATTCTTTTGGACTTTCCAGCACAGGGAGGCAGGGAGACTTCTGGTCTGGAAGGAGGCTGTGGGGATGGGAGAGCAGCTGCCCACGGCTGCCCTGCTCTGGGAAGGACTTGGGGGTTGAGGCTGGAATGTGAGCCATGGGTGGGGGGCAGGTGGGGCAGGCCTGCCCTCCGAGAGGAGCAGGGTGACTCCCCAGAATGGCCCCGAGATTGCCAGGAATGAAGGGCACCCTGGAGGGCAGGCCGGGGGTGAGGGATTGGGAAGCCCCAGCAGAAGGCAAGGCTTGGTTTTGAAACCTCGGCCAGTTGGTTCCTCCCACTGCCAACTCCCAAGGCCCAGGGCTGGTCTGTACCGGGGAATGACTGCCCATGTATTTCAACAGAGCATGTAGCAGGTGTCTGTGCTAACAAGTCAGCCACTGCTTTTTTCCTGCTCCCCTTAACAGGGACAACAGTGGTACAGGCAAACTGGAGGCGTAGAAGTGGCTGGGAACGGGGCAGAAGGCCCGGGGAAGGGCATGCATGGAGTGGGTCTTTTCTGAATCACGAAGGTGTCTCTTTGGGCTGGGGGTGCTGTGCTAAGAGGAATGAGAACAGAGTCTGGAAGAGGGATTAGTGCTGTGCCAAGTGACACATCCCAGGCTGGTGGCATTGGTTTCGTCCCTCTGGGCACAGAATCAATGGGGTGGGAGCCCTCTGGCAAGATTCAATTTGTGCATTTCCCCTCATGGTTTGGAAGCAGGTCTCCAGTGGCTCCTGCCTCTGTTCTCCTCTGCCTGAGCCCAACGGGCCCTGTGACTGCAGGGACTCTCCCCAGCCGGCCGCACTGTCCACTGCTAGGCTGCCCAGGGAGGAAAACTTGGGTGGCTGGGCTGTTCGGCTGTTCGGGTACAGGAGAGCTGGGGGCAGAGTGGCACGGAGGGGTGTGGCCATCCCCGTGGCCGGTCCAGCAGAGCACCCACTGCTTTGTAGGTCTGGGGTCAGAAGATCTTGCTCAGGAAAGCTTCCCACCTGGGCTGAAGCAATGCCCTGTATCCAGCTCCCAAGCCTCAGCCCTTGAAATCTCCAATCTGTGGGCAACCCCATGGGTTCGGGCTGAAGTGAAGGGAGGGGCAGAGAAAGCCCTGGCCTCCTGGGGCATGGGCTCCTACCCACTTCCTGCCAGGCTAAAGCAGCGCCAATATGGTCTAGGCTGGGCTTGCTGGCTTCTCCTGGGGCGGATGACAGCCCCAGATGCCGGGTCAAGCAGCCAGGAGCTCCTGACTAACCCTGACCCCCAGTGCCCTGGAGCACTATGGACCCCCAGGGAGGCTCTGCCCTACCGTCCCATTTTCGTCTTAGCACTGGATGAGGCAAAGGAGAATGAACAAGGTGGTCAGGCTGGAGGCTAGACCTGGTCTAGCCTGTCCATCAGGAGGGACCAAGCAGGGAAAGGCCATGAACTGAAGGAAGAGGGAAATACGGCCCCCAGGGGCTTGCAGAAGGGTCTCAACCCCTCCTCCGACCCCAGTTTATTGTGTCCTATCTGAACAAGCCCCACAGCTTGGGAGCCTTGGGTGGCTGTTTGATGCATATAGCCTGGCTGGGGGTTGGGGATCGGCCAGAGAGGTTCCCGCTCTGTAGAAGGCAGCAGCAGCACCCAGCCTGTGTGGGCCACCACCCTGGTCCCTTGATGCTCTCCCTCTTTGAAAGTAAATTGTTTCTGGAGGTTGGGAAAAACCTGTCTCTCCCAGGATGGGCTAAACATGCAAGAATTCAATTTCCATATTTCAGCTTGGGATTTCAATTTTTGATCTTACCATTTTTCTTACAAAGCAGACATTGGCCCTAAGAAATACAGGGCAGCTTCTTGAAGGTAGAAATGGCGATAGGGAGGAGGCACTGGTTAGGACTGACTGCCCTGGAAAATTCTAGTGCCTTAGGACAGCTCAGAAGCCCTCTGGATCGAGACAGTTGGAGGAGGCTGGGAAAGGAGTAAACACCATCTTCTGACCCTGTTATGTTTATGACAACAAGCAGGCCAGCAGTTTCCACCAGTTACAGTTTTGGGTATTTCCTTGGGGTAGTGGAGGCAGGGACGGTGTGGGGCAGGGGCAGGGCAAACCAGTCCTTCAGCAAAGGGGTCCAGAGGCTTGTCCCTGTAACTCTCCAGTGCTGAGCACTGAGAAAGCCCAGCCAGGAAGGAAACAAAACTCAGACCCCAGACGCAAGAGCAGTCCCTAGGGCTTAGGCCCTGCCACTTCAGCCATGTGGGTAGTTTTTAGAACAGAGAAGGCAGACTTTGGCCAGGCCGGGAGGGCAAGGCCAGGGTCAGGTGCTCAGGAACCAGGAGACAGCCAGCCAGGGGCCCTTTCCAGCTCAGGGGGTAGAGGCAGAGGCAGAATTCAGGTGCTGGGCCTGGTGTGGGTGGGTGGGGTGGTCTGTCCACCTGTGGAATGCCCAGATGGGCCTATGACTCAGCCTGGGTCTCTGGGAACCCTGGGATCCCCACCTGCCCTGACCTTCTACCTGCTCCTATCACTTTGTGTTGAAATCCTAGGAAAAGGAATTTTCTTGAAAAATATAAAAAATAAAAAAAGGAAAAGATGATTTTTCTGGGCTTGCCTGCGGGGGCTAGATGGGGTGACCTGCCTGTGTGTGTGTCCCTCTGCCTCGTTTCTGCTGGCGGAGGAGTGGCCACTGGCTGGGGTCGCAGCGTCTGCACACAGGAGCGCCTGCCTTTACGCTTTGCTATGCATCTGGTAAGGTGTCTCTTGTTCTCCCCCACAGCGCATCCCTGCCCTCCACCAGCCTTGGGGTGGGCAGCTGCCCGCCCCGGTGGGAGGGTCGGGAGGCTCCACCTACATCTTTCCCCAAAAGCACAAACTCTTCACAGCCTCAAACTCCTCGTGGGTTGTTGTTGTTGTTTATGTATGTGTGTGATTTGCTTCTTTTCAAGCAACCAAAGGTGTAGAAAAAGGCACAGGTAACTGCATACATGGGAAGATACAACAGATGGGGCTGGGCAGAGTTGCTGGACGGAAGGACAGACAAGAGTGGGCCGAGAGAGCAGGGGATTCGAGAAAGCGGCTGGAAACGTCTGTTGCTGAACACCAGAAGCTGGATGCTGAAGCGGCCAGAGGGAGGCTAAGCGCTTGGGGAGCCCCGATCCTCCGGCTGGTGTGGAGGCACCCTGGGCTCCCCACTTCCTGAGGGCTCGGGGGAGCCCTGCTTGGTCCTGGGTTCCCCGGAGAGGTTCCTCCTCCGGGCTGGGAAGCGGGTGGATGCCTCTGCCAGGCAGCCCACGGAGCTGCTGCGGTCCAGTGGCGGGGTGGCAGGGGCCTCGGGATTGACCGGTGTGCACGGGGACTCCAGGCGGGGGCTCCAGGATTGCGCTGCCCGGCGGCCCTGGGGTGGCCGGGACAAGGACTCGGGCGGGGTGCAGGGGCTGTGCGTGGGTGCGGGCTCTGTGGGTGCCTCAGCCCCACGGGGCGCCCAGTCAGGAGGTCTGCCCAGGCCTCCGCCCGTCCTCTCCCTCTCCTTGGGATAGTCCCTGCCCTCCAGCTCCGAGGAGAGTGTGAACTTGGAGACCTTAGCCACAGGCGACACAGAGGCTGACGAACTCTCGGTGGGACTCCAGCGGCCTCGCTCCTGGGCCTCCCGGGCCCCTGTCAGGTCGCTGCCACCCCCTGAGAAGCCGCTGACCCAGGCCGCAGTGGGCCCAGGTAGCAGGGTGGGGTGGGCCCCTGGCCGGGCCTGCACCATCTGGATCCCACCGATGGGTATCAAGGGACACGGGGCACGGGTCAAGTGCTGGGAGTGCAGAGGCAGGTGGCTGAAGATGTTCTCCTCGGTCCGGGCTGGGATGTGGCCGTGGAAGTCATGGGGGGCGGAGAAAGGTCGGGAGGAGAGAGGATGAGTAGGGCCAGGTGAGCAGGAGGGACTTCGGGACTCGGCCTTCTGCTGGGGTCAGAAAACAAGACAGGGTAAGGTGAGGATTGCATGCTGCGGATGTGGAGACCCAATGCCTGGAGACGCGAGGGAGGACCTGCTGGAACTTAACAGAGCAAGTCCTGAGGCCCAGCTGAGTGGAGGTCAGAACCAGAGTTGCTGATCCCCTGCCCATGGCACCACTCTGAGCTCAGTGACCTCCCTGGTATGGGCCACTTCCAGTCCTACGGTAAACTCCAGGCCTGTGGTCACCATACCACTTGCCAGTACATCTGCTTTCACAGGAGGGGTTACTCAGGTGACGTGGGGCCCCGTTTGGGCAGAGGGGAGGCCCTCTGTCTTGGTTCTGCTGCCTCTCCTGGCCTTGACCCAACTGCATCCTTGGCCATGAGTTCCCACCCAAGGTTCTTGATCTTCTCCCACCACCAGGAATTTTAATGTAACCCCAAAATTAAAAACCAAGAGCTCTACATCAGTGCTCTTCCAGGAGTGATGAGGTCGGGTCATGGCAACATGGTGTCAAGAAAAGGGGTTGGAAGGTCAAGGTCAGCTGGCTGTCATGGTGGCCACGGGGACAGGGATGGAGACTGTGCTGGTGTTGCAATGACACTGACCAAGCTGGCCAGGTGGCTGAGATGGTGTGCTGGGTGCAATGATGACAGTGGTGGTGCGGTGAGGAGGACGGGGCTCTGCAGGAGATGGTGGCAGTGGCTGTTGAAGGCGGTGATGGCTTTGGGGTGGGGCTGAAGATGGGAGGGGGTGGGGAACTGCACTGGTATTTACACCCACATGCAAGGCCGCACCCCTCACAAGGGGCAGAACCTAGAACCCCTGAACTCCAGAGTGGTTCTGAGGCTAAGATAAAGTTTAATAAACCAGCTAGTTCAAGGCACCCAACAGGGTGCCTGGCACAATCGGCGCCCAATAAATGTTTGCGAAATTATTAGTAACACTGAGTTGGCCGAACTGTGGCGCTCTGAGTGTGATGCCTCAGAAGGTGCGAACCTGCAACCCCTCCACCCACCAGGGAGAAGCAGTCCAGCCACCACAGGGGTGGGAACTCACCCACGGGGAGACGCAGGTCTCAGGGCTTCTGCTGAGGAGCTTGTGAGGTAGAGGCACGGGTGGGAAGAGAACCCGTGGGGTCAGCCCCAAGCCTGGGCCACGCTCGCCCACTGAGGGGCTGCTCGGCCTAGCCAAGGCCCACTTCCCTGGCAGCGCTGACCGTGGTGGTGACTCGGCCTGACCCTGAGACCACCTCCAGGTGGGCGAGTGTCTGGGGGGCCCTGGGTCGGTGGCGCCCTCGAGTTCAGGGAGCAGTTGTGCTCGAGGGGATAGTTCTCTTCCCAGGGGGCAGGGGATGAGAGGAGACAGCTCAAGTCTTGGAGAGCCACAACGGAGAGGGCCCATGTCCCTTCGTGGGCCCATGTGGGGGCTGGGCGGGCTTGGGGCTGTGGCCTGTGGTTCTCGGGCCGACGAACAACGCTGGGGAGACGAGTCATTTTTGGTGAGTGAGTGTTTGCGGGCTAGTGGTGGGCGGCTGCCTGCTTCTTTGCTTGGGGACCACGGTCTTCTTGGGGACACAGACTTGGAGCTCAGAGCTGAGCCTGCGTCCTTCTCCACAGGGCCTGAAGGGGCCAGTCCCAGTCGGGGCAGGCACAGGCTGCTCTGGCTGGATGTGGAACAGCTGCTGGCTGTCAAGTGCTCAGCTTCTGAGACCGAGCTGCCTCGTGTAGCCTCGTGGCCAGAGACGGTGGCATCTGGGGGCTGAGGGCCCTGAACGGGTGAGGAGTCTGCCCGGGGCATGGCTGGAGGGCCAGGCGGGGGTGCCTCCGAGGATGGTCTGGACAGCTCGTCCTGGCTCTCCTCCTCGTCCTCATCTTCATCTTCGTCCAGGTCCGAGTCTGGGTCCGAGTCCTCCAGGTCTGAAAACTGGTGCTCCTCCACAGCCTCTGAGCCCTCTCGCCCTTCCGAGTCCTGGAACAGGTCGTCACTGGTTCCTGAGGGGCAAACACAGCAAACCCAAGGTCACGAGGGCCCCGGGGCCACCCTGACCCCATAGCTGCACCTCTCTGAGCCTGTCTCCTTGTCTGCCAAATAGGCACAATAGCCATAGCAATGTCACAAGATTGTTGGGATGACCAGGTGACATCACAGATATGGGAACACTTTTTAAATGATAATAGTGAACAGTAATCACACTGGTATCTACAACGTGCAACGTTCAGTTCTAAGGGTTCTGTACATTGATTCATTTGGATGTCAAAGAATCCTGTGTCGTAGGTACTAGTCTCACTTTCATGTTCCAGGTGAGGAAACCGAGGTAAGAGATCAAGCAACTTGCCCAAGTAAGGTTGTAGTAGGGCTGAGATTGAACTATAGCAAAAAAACACAGCCTTTTAAAAAATTTTTATTTTTTTATAATTAGTATCTCAGTGCTGGCTTTACCATGAGCCAGTTATATCACCTTGCTGTGTCTGAGTCTCCCTGAGCTGAATGTGAGTGTCTCACCTTACAAGGTTTGCCAGGAGAAGTCAATGCAGGCTTGGCACACAGCAAGGGCTCAAATAATGCCACTCACTCTGACTATATTAGTGATGAAAGCTATTATTCCAGGATAGCACAGTCATGCCAGCTGGCCTAGCAGCACAGGGCTGTACGTGGTCAGTCTAAACACACATCTGCCACTGTGACCAGGCTGCTGCTGGCTGGCACAAAGGCATATGGCAGGTGGCAGATTCTGGACTCTGTGGGTGGCTTGGCTCAGCTGGCCTTGGGCTGCAGCATAGGGTCCCACCCAGAGGAACTACTGCCCTTCTGAAGTCTGCTCCCAGCTGGGGGAGTAGGGTTGAAACCCCAGCCTCCTTGTCTGGCCTCAGACAGCCAGGTCATCTCCAACAAGCCAGGAGCCTAGTTTGGGAATCTCTGTAACAGGTAGCAATCTGGACACTGGGGAGAGCTCCACTCACATGTTGCCCACCCACTGGCCCCCACCAGGCTGTCATGACCTGTGTTTCTGACCTGTAGAGGCTGCTGACAGATGGGCTGAGCTCCACCACTCATGCATGCCAGCACTGCACCCACTACTACCGAGGAGAGCTGGACACAAGCTGACCCAGACCACTGGTGTGATTAGGTTTTGGATCCACTGTGCTCAGCTGCTCTGGGACCAGCAAGCCCAACCTCAGTGCTTCCAGATAGCTCAACATGCAGCAGCCAGACGCCCAAAGTGGACACAAGTGGGCATTAAGTAGGTCAAAATCATGAGGTGGAGCTGGGCTGGTGGCAAAGGAGGGCCATGAGGCCAAGGGCCGCCTGCAGCTGGGGGCAGAACAAATGAGTGAGCAGAGGGGGCTGGGGGATGGGGTTGGAGGGCATAGTGATGCAGTTTCACCCCAGGCATTTATTTCTCTCACCTGGGTCTTCAGCAGGGCCTATTCCAGCCCCAGGAGTTCACCTGGCCCCTGCCCCTTATTTTCATCTGGCCAAATCCCGGCACAGAGGGGGCAAGTGCTTACCTAAGATCATCCAGCCAGAGCTGCTTGCTGCATCAGTACTATTACGCTGTCAGTTTAAAAGTGATTTTATGCATCAAGAAGAGGAAATAGTCTGAGGCCTAGCACCATCACTTCCTTGCTGTGTGATGGGGGATAATTTACTTTCTCTGCGTTCAGTTTCATCATCTGAAAAACGAGTCATAGTAATAAAAGCCCCCTTATGAAGCTACTGTGAGGACGGTGAAGGTCTAGCACCTAGGAAGTGCCCAGTACACTTCAGCTGCCATCTCCACCCCTCGCTCCAGTCTCAGCAAGCAGGTAGCTAAGGCAGGTGGCAGGGCAGGCACTGTGAGCTTACTGCAGATGAAGGTCAGAGGTGCAAGGAGTGAAGGTGAGTCAGACCAGTGTCTCCTGACATCCAGCAGGGAGGGCTCCACAAAACCCTCTTTACTGATGTGGAATGAGGCCCAGGGGTGGTGGTGGCCCATCCTTGAGCACCCAGGGCATGACTGATGGACGCCAAGGGTCCCCTGCCCAGCACAGGGACTGCTGGGTCCTTCACATCTGGGCTCCAGCAGGGCTCAGGGAAAGCCCCTGGCTGGTTCACCATTCCTAATGCCCTTGCAGGAGCTGCCCAGGCCCTGCTGGCAGATGAGGCAGAATGAATGATAAGTAAGCAGAGGGGGTGGGGGATGGGAATGGGAGAGGCAGGTTCCTTATGCCCCTTAGGCCATCACTCCTTATGCCCCTGCGTTGTGGAGCAAGAGGGAGCAGTGTGTGACTGGTGCTGCTAGGAGAGGCCACACGGTGGCGGTGGCGCCCACTGGTCACCACCAGGGAGGGACTGCGGCGCTGGCCACGGGAAGCGGTGGTCCTTCCAGGCTGTCCTCACGCGTTACCACCAGGTCAAACAGACTCGAACTCCTGCCGTCCCCTCGTGGAAAGTGGCGACTCTATCCTTCTAGGGTCTCAGGCTGTAAACCTCCGGGGCATCCTTGCCTCCTCTTTGTCCTCACCCTTCCTCTCTCCCATATGGCGTGTCAGCAAAGCCTGTGGGCTCTCCCGCCAGAATAAACCCAGAATCCGACTGCTTCTCATCTCGTCCCCCAGCCCACCCGCCGAGCCCACCTGCGCCCAGCCTGGACTGCGGCCTCCCTGCGCCCCCTGCCGGCCGGCGTTGCACACCACCAGATGACGTCCTCACTCAGAGGACAACCCAGTCCCCGCCACCCTGCATCCCTCAGGGCCTCGCACTCTCTGATCCATCTGCCTGTGCCCCGCGGGCTCCAGCCACGCGGGTCCAGTGCTGGCCCTCAAGGCCCCCCGATCTGCTGCTCCCTCTGCGTAAGGGCTCTTCCCAGACTCCACCTGGCTCCTGACCCGCTTTATCCCCCGTTCTCTGTCATACTACCCTAACAGAGCAGTCCCTACACACCCACGCCCCTCTCGTGGCTCTGTGGCCTTTATCTTTCGCTTCATACTCATTGCCTCTTTCTACTCCACATTTGTCCACAGCCCCCACTAGAACAGCGGTTTCCTAAGGACAAGAGCTGTGTTTTATTCACTGCTGAATCTCCAGCACCAAGAACAGAGCTGGAAACAGAGCTGGTGCTCAGTAATGACTTCTGGAATGGTTGCATGCACTTCATCCTCACAAAGAGTGAGATCATCCTTGCTTGCCTCACTGAGAAAATGAGGCTGAGGCAGGGCAGGGACAACCCAGAGAGAAATCTGGGTTGGGATCAGGTGTCCCTGGTCCGGTCCACCAGGCAACGGGGTGGCATGGAGCCAGTGTTTTTGTGTGACCTTGGGAAGCTGTCTTTCCACCCTGAGGTTCCTCAATTTAAAATGGGACAGTGCAAGTTTCTGCCACCTGACTCAATGAGACAACATCTGTAAATGGCCAGATGTACATTCTTGACATGCATGGCAAAAGCACATTCTAGGTTTCAGGGGGACAGTCCCAAGGTCATTGTGTTCTGTTCTATAAAAGTGATTTACTCCACCTAAGGAAATATGATTTAACTCTTTTGTAAGACCGCCACGCGCATACACACATACGTATACTAATCACACACTAACACAGGGAATCTGTGGTCAAAGCTTTGCCCAGTGCTGGACGAACGCTTCCAGCCTCCTCCTGCTGGAGGGACTTCCCGTCTACCACCAAAGCCCATCCTCCCTCCTGCCTGGCTGCTGAGGCTGGGGGATGCCAGCCAGACCTCATTGGTTTTTGAGTCCTCTGCTCTCCCTTGTCTCCTCAGGGCTTGGCTCTAATATGCCTCCTGGTGAGGGGTGACCGGCTGGGGGATGGTGAGGGAGGGGGCAGGAGGCAGCAAGGGACTATGGGGTATGGTTTTGGCTTTTTTGAAGCCCTTCTAGCTCCAAAAGGGAGTAAGGCCTATGCCAGAGAGCGTAACCACGAGTGTGGCCCGCATTCCAGGAGTATATACCCCACAGAGTCATTGTGAGGGTTTGCTGAGATAATTCAGGGCATGCATTTAGAACTGGCCTGACACGTAGTGAGTGCTCAATCAGTGTTGACTGTAAGCACTCATGTGTGCAGTTATACAGTAAACATACACTGAGCAACCATGGTCTGCCATGCACGGTAGACCATAACGTACGATAGCTATGGCTGAAGAGCAAGTGCTATATAGCATACAGGGAGTAGGGTTGACCATCGTGTGAATTTAACCTTTGTCTTCCAGTAGTTGGAGGGCATGGGAAGGAGAGAGAGGAGGAGGGAAAGCAGGGGAAGAGGAGGACAGAAAGGAAGGGGGAGGGCAAGGAGGGACGGAGGAGGGGGCAGGGCAGTGGGGAAGGGGGGAAAGAGGTTGGCATCCCTTACCTTCTTCGGCTTCCAGCTCCTCCAGCACCCCTGTCTCTTGGCACTTTTTGCTGTGGGCCTTCGACTTCATGTGCTTAGTCAGATTCCCTGGAAAGAGATGAGAATAGACTCAGGCCTTGCTGTGGGGCAGGGAGCCAGCACAGGCCCAGGGCTCACGGAGGCAGCACCTGGCTAGCAGGAAGCCAGCAAGAGTCTCAGGTCAGTCGAGGCCATGCCAGCTGCCGGGGCTGGGCGGGGCCTGGCACTCCTCTGCCTTGGTGCTCAGG